TCTGTCTCAAAATTTTTAAAAAGGGTGGGGCATGTGACTCAGTAGAAGAGTGCTTGCCTAGCCCACATGAGGCCATGGTTCAATCTCCATTACCACACAGACAAAAATTTTTTAAGAGTTTGAGATCTTGACTTCAGTACTGATTCCCCAAGTGCCAAGAAAATTTAAGTCAGGACTGGTTGCACGTGAGGGAAGAGCAGGAGGCTCTACCTCCTAAAGCTCCTGGCCCTATCCCATTCATGCTGTTTAGACACCACAAGATTCCCAGAAGATGGTCTTAGAACTGGCCACTCACTTATCCCTAGGAGCAAAGGCATTGGCCACAATCTGAGGACATGTTTGTTTGCCTCCGGAGATATTTATTTGCCCACATTTCCACTGAAGCATTATTCTTCAAAGGGTTCTTACTCACTGGCCCTGAGAGGGGAAGACAGGTAGAACCTCAGGCTGAGCTACTCAGCTGGGCTCCAAAGCCACAGAGCCGAGCAAGGCCGGAGGCCCCTGGGCCCTTGGAACCCTCCCTTAGGTCACAAGGCTATGGAACAATGCCAAGTTCCACTGCTCTCCATCCACAGCACGCTGTGTTTCTGGGTGTGAAGGTAATCTGGGGTCACAGTTTAATTATTAAATGTATCTAACACCCAATTTCTATTGGCTTTTAGGCTAAAAATAGTAAATGTTTATGCTCTGGCAGCATCTCCAGATGCGGGCAAGTTAATGCATTTAGCAAGTAATTGAGATCAAAGATACATTTATGCTTCTGTAATCAATTCTGTACTGATAATAACAATGACACAAATTTTCCCAGATTGAGTTAACAGCCTAAAGATTACAAAATGTTTTAAATTACCATTTACATATACTTTTGTCTCCAAAAAGTATGAAGAATGACCAAGAAAAAGATTCTGAAGTATAAAAGCACATTACATTAATATAAAAGTCCACAAGGGAAAGTGGACCTAAGTTTCACACTGTTTATGAACATACTTTTTAAAGGGGTTACTGATAGTGGGTATCAAACTATTAGGGTATTTAGCATTTAAAAAGCAATAGAACAGTAACTTTTAAATGCCTGCAATATAACAGAAATTATGTATTTTATAGCTATTTAAAATTATGATAAAAATATTTAGACATGCCTGGGATTTTAAATATGGGCATAGCTTTTCAAAGTTTGGGGTTTTTTGTTGCTTCTGCTTTTGTTTTGCAGTACTGGTGGGTTGAACCCACAGGCACTCTACCCCTGAGCTATATCTCTAGCTCTTTTTGAGATACGGTCTTGCTAAACTGGCCAGGCTGCTCTCCAACTTGAGATCCCCCTGCCCAGCCTCTCAAATGGTTGGGATTACAGGTGTACACTACCATGCCCAGCTTCTCAAAGAAATTTTGTGGAACATGTGAGCCAGATGCCGAACAGCTTCTGCTTTAACATAATATAAAACAATCCTAATTTAACCCAGTACTATTGATAAAATAGCTGCTTTCTACTGGTACCCAGCTGGTCCTTCACCTTAAGTCCATCATACTTTGGAAAGTGATTTCATTTCCAGTGCAGATGTCAAAACCACTCCCTTCCAAAAAAAAAAAAAAAAAAATGACGGTGGGCTGCAGATGTAGCTCAGAGGCACATGCTGGAGGACCTGAGTTCCATCTCCAGCTGCAACAATGACAATGAAACCAACCAAACATAATAAAGTGATGAAAAAACATTCTCTTCCCACCTGAAACCAAGTTGTATTCCTTTAGATTAATATATTGTCCTAAAATGACTGTTGGCGATAAGGAGCTCATTTACTGTTCAGTGGCTTATAACTTCTAAGTGAAACATCAAACTGCACAGAAGGGTTTGTGTGCCAAAGTACAGTGACCACTACATCTGAACCAAGCAAGAACAGCCTTTCAACGCCTCTTTAAATGTTTCAAGGGTCTGCTGTGCATTTTTTACTCATGATTTCCCTTTCTCTGAAATGAGAAAAATGTGGGTGCCAGCCAATCCTTTGGTTCCAGGATTCAGAGGCAGAATCCCCAACATTAAAAGTAAGCTGGGCAGCAGGATCCCAGCATGGAAGGTACTTTTTGAATACAGTAAATTAAGTACCTTTGGGCCTGGGTTCAGGAATGCAGTAGCCTCTCACTGCCAGCAAAACCCCTCAATAGGTTTAGAAGGATGAAAACACCAAGACCTGGCTTTGAACAATGCCTTTCCGGCCTGGGCTTCTAGCCAAGCAGAGGTGGGAGGGCAAGGTGGCAGTGTCTAGTGACTCCAGCAGGTTATGCAAATCCCCTAGGCTGCAGGGGCTCTATCACAGGACCCCTCAGTGGAGAGGCTGGCTCCCTGATTTCCAGCACAAAGGGCACCTTCCTTGGCTTCCCCAAACTCATGGGCAAAGCTGTTTTGAGCCTTCACTAGAGAAGAAGGTAGGCCTGGTGACAGCATTCAAGATAATATACCTGCACGCTTTTTAAAAGAGAAACCCTTCTGCTCATCCAAGGACCGAAAGTCACACAGCAGTGAGCTGAACAGAACTCAAGAGCCCTTCTCTCCAACATCAGGGTTCTGTGTTGATTCCCACAACCTCTCTCAAAAAACCGGTACTGCTCCTCTCTCAAGCTGACTGCTCTAACAAGGATTCACACTGACTGCGGGCCTTAACATCACACCCTGTAAGATGAAAACATAAACAGACCACCCCCTGGTCTCAAAGGACCTCTAGGTAGAGAATTTCTTGCAAGTTGAAGAGGAAAACAGCAAGCAGTTTATGCTGCCCCCAAGTCAGTGCATGTTTTAATCTTCTTAAAACACTTCCTTCACAGGTCACTCGCCAAGGAAGCCACCTCATAAACACTATTAGGCCTTCACTAAACGTTTCTCGCATCACTTTCACTCAAATGGCCAGGAGCTGGAGGTGCCTTTGGCGAAGCCTGCTGGAGTTTCTTCTAGCTCAGGGCAGAGACTCATCTGCCTCACTTCACAGACACTAAGAAATAGATATTTTTTTTAAAATTCTGAAAGTTCCACTTTTAAAAAGATCCTTGTTCATTGATTTTGGCGGGGCAGTTACACTAATCTAAACAAGGGAACTTTGTCTAGGAGTGGGTGGGGGAGGTGCAGCAGCTCTGGCCCTGTGCAGACTCCTGCTTACGTGGTCCTCCCCCCCACCCAAGCTGCTCTTTATCCACGAGGCTTGTTCCTGCTGTTGGATTTTTCACTCAACACAACTAAAATGCTCTTGTGAATCCTGGCTTGGAGTCACAGCAGCCCTTCTAATGGTGTTTCACTGAGCACACCTTCAACATAATTTACATTGTGATTAAAAAAAAATTTAGGGAATCAGAGGAAGCTAGCTCAGAGCAGTGTCCTTACCCATCCTTAACAAGAACACAGCTTCTGGCACCTCCCAGCTCCACAAATTACAGACAGACTCTGCCAGGGGTGTACCGAAGGAGGGCACTGACAATTTGGAGTTGTCCGCCACCTACCACACTTGCTAGTTGCCCTCACTCAGTGCCAGGCCTTGAGGCTGTCACAAACCACCCCTACCGGCTACCCAAAGCAGGACATCAGGGCCTCTGGGATGAAAGAGACAGGACACCAGCAGACAGATGCATCTCAGTTGGAAAATGACAATAACAGCAGCAGCCTAAACTCCAACACTGCCCCTCATCCTCCCCAACAGCCTTTCTGACGACACAGATGAAATCAATTCAATACCAAGCAACCTAACATCAGCTCAGATACCTTCCCAAGCTCCTCTCCTCCATCCGGGATGGGGGAGCTGCTGCCTATACTATGGCAGCCCTCTCCTCCCCTGCAGATCGGCAGAGCCTGAGGAGGCCGGATCTCCCTGCTCCCAGAGAGGGGCAGAAGCCAGTAGACTGGCTCTCTGGGCCCCTCCCCCACCCTAATCTCTCCAATAAGCAAAGTTATAGAGTGTTAAAAGCTTGCAAGGTCCCCTGGAGATCACAAGCCTAATCTCTGATCTCGTTGTTCTATGATGCGACAAGAGCCAAAGCTGCAGCGCAAAGCACTTCAGCAAGGGAAGGGAAGAGAGCAAACGAATCCCCACTGGCCCAGGGAGCTGGCCCTGGGCAGCCTCTCCAACTCCCACAGACCCAAGGACACTGTCCAGATGTAACCATCTCTGTTTTCAAACCTAATATGCATTTCAAACTATCTAGTTCTTTCCTTTTCAGCTGTAGCCACAAAAGCAATTAGCCTGATGTGACTGCAACCTCTGATTTTAAGACAACCTACTTCCTCAATCACTCCCAGAAGCACTGAATTTCTTTATTATGCCTGAGTCTCTTTCTACCTGGAGCCCCCAGAGCTTCAGGCCAAAATCACTGCCTCTTCCCACTCTACCACAGCTTCCTCAATAAACTACCTGCTCTTTCAATACATAATTCAGATCTAACAGAAAAGTAAGGAAATTACCCCATTTTTTCAAGGAAGGTGGATGATTCTGGTTCTGATGTCCAATCATTTGTTATAATTTTTAATCGGTAAACCAATCCTCCAGCCTTTTCTTACTTTTTCCTACCACAAGAACAATATAATAGAGGCAAGATTCTTACCACATCCTATCTATCGGTGGAAGACAGATCAGAGGACGTAGTTGCAGGTAATAAAAGTGCAGGGCACACTCGATGACACAATTGGGGAGGTCTGGTGCGGTTCTCCCAGCTGTCTGAATCTCAAGGCCATGACAATCACTTGCTTGGCCCCACAAGTGCTTAAATCACTAAGCTTGTAAACCCTCCTTCCCAGGCCCTCGACCAGAAAAGGGCACCCCAGTAAGAAGTAGCTGCAAAGTGTGTTCTGCTGGAGTCAGCTGAGTGGGATGTCTCACTCTGTGATCCTGAATCCACACTCCATCAGTGGCCCCATCAGAAAAATCACAAACCCTAGGAATCCAAATGTACCCTCCCACTCTTCGCTGATCCCACCTTCTAGAATCACGGCGTAACCGGCCAGCATCCCCCCCATCTGAACATACCTCCCCCGGGAAAGCCCTCGCTGGAGTGTGCTCCCCGGGAGCCCTTCAAGAGCAACGCACCCTGGTAAGGAATGGGTTAAGCTCAAGGGCGAGAGGATGAAGGATGCCGAGGAAAGGGGCCATGTGTGCTGAGGTCCAGAGATATGAGCAGGGACGTCTCCAAAACATAGGCTCTGGACCAGGAACACTGATAGACTGGCCTCTTCCTCCAGAGGAGAGGTCGGGCTCAGGAAATATCCATCCCCAAAACGACAGAGCAGGGACAGTTCCCAGCCCAGAGGGACAGGCTCGGTCGGAGTTGAGGTAGGACACAGCCAGGGGGTTGTGCGTGCCAGTGGGAGAAGGAGAGAAGAGCAGGGACATTTCGTGCGTGGTGGGCAGAGTCTGATCTCTCAGAAGTTAGAGATGGCAGGAGGGGTACCGGCAGGGGGTGAGGTGTACAGCAGGGTTGGACTCCTCTGCGGGAACCTGATGAAAGCTAGGGTGAGGGGGATGCTGATGGATGAGGCCGGGGCCAGTCCAAAAGAAGGCGCACAGTCCGGAAGGGCACTTGGGATGCTTGAGGAGGCTTCTGGGATGAAGACGAGATCCAGCAGGTGTAGTCGAGAAGGGAAGGTGCCGAGGAGTGGGGGCGGGGCGCCTACTGGGCCAGCGCCCAGCAGGGCGGAGTGGGGGATGCCCTCCCCTGGGGAAGGGACGCAGGGCTGGGGCTGGGCCACGAGTTCGAGGCGCAGGCCTCGCGGAAGCGGACGGGAGGGGGGGAGCGGCAGGTGCTAGCGCCGGGGGCAGGGGGCCGGGCGCAGCCGCTCACCTGTCTCCTGCGGCCGGGGCCGCGGGGCGGCGGGGCGGCGGGCCGGCCGGG